GACTCATGGAGGGGGGCATGTGCCACCACCCCGGCCCCACAGCTCCCTGGGGGGAGAATAAAGCCATGGACTCCCATCACCCGCCTCATCCTGCCCGGGGGTGGGGGGGGGAAAGGGGGCACTGGGCATACTGGGAGAACTGGTTCCCAGTGGAAGTCCCCACAGGGAAACCCCGGGGTGGGCGGGGCACCGGGACCCGTCGGACCATTGTGGGATTGGCACTGGGACCACCGTGGGCCAGTACAGCCCTGGGACTGGGACCAGTGTGGCTCTGAGACTGGGACCAGCACCAGGACCAGTCTGGCCCAGTATAGCTCTGGGACTGAGACCAGCACCAGGACCAGTCTGGCCCAGTACAGCCCTGGGACTGGGACCAGCACCGGGACCAGTCTGGCCCAGTATAGCCCTGGGACTGGGGCCAGTGTCACCCAGTACAGCCCTGGGACTGGGACCAGCACCAGGACCAATCTGGCCCAGTATAGCCCTGGGACTGGAACCAGCACCGGGACCAGTCTGGCCCAGTACAGCCCTGGGACTGGGACGAGCCTGGCACCAGTATAACCCTGGGACTGGGACCAGCACTGGGACCAGTCTGGACCAGTATAGCCCTGGGACTGAGACCAGCCTGGCCCAGTACAGCCCTGGGACTGGGACCAATCTGGCCCAGTATAGCCCTGGGACTGGAACCAGTACTGGGACCAATCTGGCCCAGTATAGCCCTGGGACTGGGACCAGCACCGGGACCAGTCTGGCCCAGTACAGCCCTGGGACTGGGACGAGCCTGGCACCAGTATAACCCTGGGACTGGGACCAGCACTGGGACCAGTCTGGACCAGTATAGCCCTGGGACTGAGACCAGCCTGGCCCAGTACAGCCCTGGGACTGGGACCAATCTGGCCCAGTATAGCCCTGGGACTGGAACCAGTACTGGGACCAATCTGGCCCAGTATAGCCCTGGGACTGGGACCAGCACCGGGACCAGTCTGGCCCAGTACAGCCCTGGGACTGGGACGAGCCTGGCACCAGTATAACCCTGGGACTGGGACCAGCACTGGGACCAGTCTGGACCAGTATAGCCCTGGGACTGAGACCAGCCTGGCCCAGTACAGCCCTGGGACTGGGACCAATCTGGCCCAGTATAGCCCTGGGACTGGAACCAGTACTGGGACCAATCTGGCCCAGTATAGCCCTGGGACTGGGACCAGCACCGGGACCAGTCTGGACCAGTATAGCTCTGGGACTGAGACCAGCCTGGCCCAGTACAGCCCTGGGACTGGGTCCAGCACCGGGACCAGCCTGGCACCAGTACAGCCCTGGGACTGGGACCAGCCTGGCACCAGTATAGCCCTGGGACTGGGACCAGCCTGGCGCAGTATCGCCTGAGGACTGGAACCAGTACCGAGACCAGTCTGGCTCAGTATAGTCCTGGGACTGGGGCCAGTGTCACCCAGTACAGCCCTGGGACTGGGACCAATCTGGCCCAGTATAGCCCTGGGACTGGAACCAGTACTGGGACCAATCTGGCCCAGTATAGCCCTGGGACTGGGACCAGCACCGGGACCAGTCTGGACCAGTATAGCTCTGGGACTGAGACCAGCCTGGCCCAGTACAGCCCTGGGACTGGGTCCAGCACCGGGACCAGCCTGGCACCAGTACAGCCCTGGGACTGGGACCAGCAGCAGAACCAGCCTGGCCCAGTACAGCCCTGGAACTGAGACCAATCTGGCCCAGTATAGCCCTGGGACTGGGACCAGTACAGGGACCAGTCCGTTCCAGTACAGCCCCGGGCCTGGCCCCAGTACAGCCCCGGGACAAGGATCAGCCGCGGCCCCGCCCCCTCCGTGACGTCACGCGCCAGCCCCGCGGCGCAGCCCCTTGTCCCGCCCCTCCCCGAGCCGTCACTTCCGCTTCCGGGTCGCTCTCCGGCCGCTGGCCCGGCGGTGAGTGCTTAATGGCGGCGGGGCCGCCCCCCCCTCCCCGGTGTATGCCCTT